TAGAGGGGCAAGACAGTGTAAACAGAGGCAACAGTGCTATGGCAGCGAGTTTCCGGGCGAGACGAGTCAAGCATGCATCATTCATGCATCCCGAGGTGGGGCTGTGGCCACCTTCTTTCTGCATTTAATTTGTTAATTAATTAGAAATTCTGTAATAATTAATTTAGTATTATTTATTCGGACTGTAATTTTTATTCGGACCCTCCGAGTGAGAGTAATTGTGTAATAAGTGTGCGTGACTATGTGTATGTCTCCCAACCCCACGTCTTTCTTCCTTTTTATTTACTAGCTTTCAATGGTTAGTCTGGGGCATGCTTCAATTAGCATATAGTATGATAGCATGTTTGCATCCATTCATTCGTCTTACATGCACCGGGCTCGGTACATCATACTAACTGCACTTGTATTTCAATTCCAAGTTAAATACCTGTTAGTTGCAGCATTTTCACATGCCATCTTTAGGATAGCCGAGCCTGTTGTAGTTGCATCTTGCATGTGTTGCATTAGCCATCTCAACATGAACTAGGATCATGCACATGATTACTAACTAGCTTCTGTTCTGGCTTGGAGTACTCGGTAAGCATTTATGCTTTAGCATACCGCATGCGTGTGAGTGTTGCCATAATAGCATGATTACCATGAGGCTAGCTGCTTATGTGATATAACTGCTTGAATGCCTGTGGATGGAGGTTGAATTAACTAAATTGGGATAACGCATTAAAACTGTGAGTTTTAAGCCCACTAGATAGTGGCAAAACCATCTTTTCTAAAGCCCACTTGAGGGTGGCAAAATCTACATTTTTAGCCTACTTGCGAGTAGCAAACCATTTTCAAAACAAGCATGTAATGTTTTGTTCCAATTTAGGCGATTTGGTCTATACTTGTTTGCTGTGCGCATAACATAGTAATTCTAGGCTAATAACCGGAATAAGAACACATAACGTTTTCAAAAACGGATATCACGGTTAGTAGAAGCCGAGCTTGACATCGGGCGAAAGGGGGTGCTCATAGCTGACATTCCCCAATCGTACCCAAGTTCCCGAGCTGAGGCAACTTTGGTGATGACGGACACGTGGCCTTTGGCAAACGAGTCAGGGTTTCCTAAATTCTCCAAAATAAAATATTTAGGTGGCGACTCTGTATCTGGCAAAGCAGTTTATGTTTGGCACTTCTTTCAAAAAAATCTGTTTTCAAAAACGATTTGCCAGATTTGGACTCTTTGACGATTCATCGGTCTTGCATTGCACTTTGCGAGATTAAATACAGGACCGTGACACCAATTGAGTCCGAACTGTAGCACGAGGCCCGAGGGCGCGTCTACACACCGTCACCACTACTGCCGCTCCCTCTCCTCTACCACAAAAAATTAGTTCATGATTTTTAATAACAAAAAAAATGGGCCGCAGAAAAATATTTTTTATTGACCATAGAAAATTAATTTTTATTTTAGTGGAAAATATTTTTCATTACAATATTACCCCTACTTCTACCAAATAAAAAATAATAATATTTTTTTTCATTAAAATAAAAATGAAACAAATAAATTTTCAATCTTGGTAACTAAAAAACAAAAATAAATTTTTTAAAAAAAATTCATTAAGTACAAAAAAATATATATTTTAACAAAAAATAAAAAATTTTAACGACAGCAACCCTCGTCGCAAAAAAAAAAAAAAAAAAAAAAAAAAAAGAAAAGAGTTAAACGGCATTATTTTGTTATTTAAATTTCATTTTTGACCCCAAAAAATATATATATATATTTTTTATTTTTTATTCCCGTCCCTTTTTTTTTTCCATTCCCGCTCCCGTCTCCCCCCCTCCCCTCAAAACAAAAAATCCCCAATCTCAAACCCAAAAATCCCTAATCTCTTCTTACCCCCCCCCTCTCTCTCTCGATCGACAACGAGTGGCGTCGGAGCAGCGTCGTCGTCGTCGGAGGTGCTGCGTCGTCATCGAAGGAGCACCATTGGATTAGCAGCAGATCTTCCGATGTTGCCTGGCCTCACCAAGTCCTACCCTATCACTCCTTCTCGTCTCCACCTCACCTACGAAGATGTATGGCTCAGATCTTCCGATGGAGTTCGCCTTCACGCCTGGTTCATCAAGCTCTTCCCTGACTGTCGAGGTCTCTCTCTCTCTCTCTCTCTCTCTCTCTCACGCTCTATATATATATATATGTATTGATTTGATTAGTTCGCCTTCATGCCTGTTACTACAACGTTTTCTTCTTGGGGAAATCTATTTTGTAGGCACATAAAGTTAGGATTTTTTTATTTTATTTTATTTTTTGGTGGTGAAAATTTAGAAATATTTGTGGGGGTGTTAAAAGTTACGAATGAAAAATTTATGATGTGCATTTTAAAGTGAAATTTATATTTTTTGCGATGAGAATAGTTATTCCATTAAGTGGTTTATGTTACAAAATTTTATGTTGTTATTATGACGGGCGTACAATATGTGCCTTCTTATGGGTGCACATCTATGAAGCATTGATATTTCAAGAAGGTAGTTGTATTCGTATCATATCCTTATCAGATGCTAATACATTTTGAATACTCACGGGTAGTTTCTAAACGTCTAGTATTGAAATTAATTTTCTTGAATTTTGACAAGTATTGGATACTTTTGGATAAGTCATGTATCTAAACTATTATGAAAATGAGATTGTAATATTTCTTACATAGCTATAGAGTATAATTGTTAAAATAAAAACAAGAATAGTTTTAAATACTCAGTTTATCTCTTAGAAAAGAAGAAAATAATATGACTAAAATCAGATTTTAACAATTGAAAGAGCAAGTAAACTTATAACACTTTTAGGTGTGAAAGGGAAAAGAACAAGGGAGATATAAACAATTTAGACATGATATTGAAATGAAATTTTTATAAGACCTACTAAAAAAAAATGTAAATTGACTATTGACTCTCAAACCAATACCTAGTTCCTAAAGTTGAGCTTATGTATAATACAATGTTAGAAACTATAACTTCTTTTTCATGAACGTATCTTAGGCGTACCTGTATCCTATTTTTTTGAGTTTTTGTCGTATCACGATATCCGCATCATATTGTATCGGCATCCTGTATTCGTATCCATACTTCATAGGTGCATGTAGTAACAGCTCCCTTACTTGTTTGCTTTCAAATTTTGATTCTAGGAAGATTTGAAGTTTTGCTCTATCTAAATCACCTTGTTCAATTTGGCTTGTCGGACGGACTGACTAGATTGATGCTTATTACAATTACTGTGATATGCAGACATGTCGATTACTTATTAGAATTGTTTTATTATTCAATGAAGAATTGGGTTTGATATAAGGAGGTACCATTGAAACTTCAACGGGGGAAGATAACACTGGTTTAACATTATCATTTTTCCCAACCCTCTAGAATGTCATCACATATGACTTGACAAGCCTAGAAAATCATTTATATGAGTGCAAATATGTGTGTGGCCTAGTGGAAGCATGAATGAAGGCTGCAGATATTGTGTCATCACCTCTGTTATCACTGCATCATGGCACGGATAACCGTGTGCTGGTTATTTCCCATTATATTCTGTCCATATCTTTCTTATTTGTATTTTATGCAAATATTGTGGGCTAGTAATACTTTTCAAGGCTTAGAAAGTAGTGATGATGGTTTTGCAGGGCCAACCATTCTGTTTTTCCAAGAACATGCAAGGAGTATCCTTTTGTTGTTGTTTTTCCAGAAGACATGCATTGGGTTGTATTTATAATTTTTAAAATTTTTATTTATTTATGAATTTTTTGGGTATTTTTTGAAGTTTTGATGGGTCTTATTTGTGTTGGATGCCTTTACTAGCTTCCTTCAGATATTGCACATCGTCTTACTTGTTTTCCAGAAGATATTTGTTTTCAGATATTACTAGCTTTCTTTCTCTATATTTGCCTGTATGTCTGTCTTTCTCCCCCATTGTGTTCACCTTGCTCACTCTCTCCCTCCCCTCTTCTCTATTTATCGAGCTCTCCACTACAAGAAAATGCATTTTTAGCGACCACTTTGCCTCTCTCTCGCTCATCACTCTGTCTCTCTCTCTCTATCTCTCTTCTCTATTTGTCTCTCACTCATCTCTCTCTCATCACCCATCTCCTCTACCACCTTCACCACTACTGCAAATGCTATTACACTACCACCACTGTACCATTGTTGCTACTTCACCTCTACCATCTTCAATTAATTTTTTTTTTCAAATATTTTTTTTTTCAACTAATCTTTTTTTTTTCAAATATTTTTTTCCCCAATTAATTTTTTTTTCAATTAATCTTTTTTTTCAATTATTTTTTTAATTAATTTTTTTTCAATTATAATGTGTGATCCCATTGTCATAAATAATAAAAATAAATATAAATATTTTAGGCATGAACAAACATATTTTTTTAGTTTGTGTTTTTAAATTTTTTTAAACATTTTGTTCAAACCAAAGGTGTTTGTAATTTATGTTTTTCTAAAAATAAACAAAAACTAATTTATAAAATTTTTGTAAATATAAACCAAAAACATAAATGTTACCAAACGCTACCTTAACTTTACATTATACTCAATTTCTATCGTGAAAGCTATGATCCAAAAAGAATAGCGCCAAAATTAAAAAAATTCAGGTGCCAAATGCCAAAACAAATATTAAAAAAAATATACAAAGTACGAAAACATGTTTGGTTTAGTTTTTGAGAGATGTGTTTTAGAGATAAAAAGTACGAAAACATGTTTGGTTTAGTTTTTTTTAAAAGATGTTTTGGAAAATTATTTTGAGATAGAGTTTTGGAAAAAGTGATTGATTTGATATGTGTGAGAGAGAGATTTGTTTGGAAAACTTGTTTGGTTTACAAGTTTTGAGAATTTTTTTTGGGAAAATTTGTTTGGTTTGATTATTTTTGAAAACTTATTTGTAGAGAAAATTTCCCAAAATTTTTTCAGAAAATCAAACCAAACGAGCCCAATGGGCTTCTTTTGGCTTCTTCTGACTTCTAATCAAAAAGAAAATGAAAGGGTCCATCAAAAGGCATGTAAAAGAGAGGGAGCGAGAGTGAGAGACAACGGCCAGAAGCTCCACCTCTGCCACCACCACCACCACCCAGCGCCACCTTTGCACAAGAGGGCATCAAATCGGTATTGGTACATCGATCAGAATACCCTCCAATCTTGTGAAGAGTCTGCGATTAGGTAACTAAAAGCTTTTTTCTTGAATTTTTTGATTTGTTGTTTTGTCTAATGCCCACCATGAACCAATGAGGACAAAAACTAAATGCAGAAAATTAAACACGATGCACAAAATTGCTTCCTTCTTCTGTTGCAGAAATCCTAATCTAGGTTTTTTCCCCCTCTCTTCTCAGCCTTCCTCTGTTTTGGAGTTGTTTATGCGAATCGTATATGTGAATCCTATCTGTAATTGGGTTTTTCTTACAAAAAATCTAACATGTTTTCATCAATGTGATCTGGGTTTTGCTTTATTTTTCGTCTTATCCCAAATGTTGTTTTCCTCTCACGTTAAGCATTGGATTTGACGTAGCCAAGCTATTTTATGACTGTTATTCATACATCCACCTCCATTATTGGGTTTCTTTACATTGTCATTTTCTTTGAGTTTTAAAAAAGGGAAAAAAAAGAGGAAAGCGAAAGAAAGAAAGGAAACAAATCTTGTGAGATTATTGTGAGAAAGAAAGAAAGGATTCGGGGGATACCTCCTGCCCTTAGGGACATTAGTTACTGCTACACCTTTAAACTGCCAAGGTATGTATAAAAAAATTTAACTTAATTTTAATATGTATAAAAAAATTTAACTTAATTTTAATACATCATAGAATTTGTATTTGTTCAATTCATTTCTTAATGCATTTGAATTTTGTTTTTTTATAAATAAATCTTTGGGTTTAATTTGATTATTTGATTAAAAAAAGGTCAATTGATGTTGTTTGATTTCAATTCTAGATTATAGATTATTTGATTTTTTTCAGCGTATTTAACTTAGAAAAAGTGAGATTACTTGTAATTTTTTTCAACTTAGGAATGTGCCTGAATTCATCTAAAATTAAGTGGAATAGGTTTGAATTTTCCACAGTGGTGGAGGTTGTGCCTCTTTGAGTTGGTTCAGACCATGGTTGTTTTGTTGTGGTTATGCCTCTAATTAGGTTGCTTCAAGCCATGATTGTTTACTTTGGTTGTCAGGTGGCATGAGAGCTGTCACACTCTTCATGGTTTTCATGAAAATATTGTTGGCTTTAGAATTTTCATTCTTAATTTTTTTTTAATACAATTCCAAAATGATGTAGCCATGGCTAGAACTCTATTTTTGTGTATATAACCTACTCTACTACACACTTAATTTAATTAATTGAAAAAGTTGTGGGTCGGTTTACTGAATACTGTAGTAACTAAACACACGCGATGCGACTTCATCTATAGGAGTGCTATATTTATCAATTTATGCAGCTATTGCCAGACTTCAAGATATCTGAAATGGTCATGAACGAGAAAATCCACAGAAATTGTGCAATATATCCGTAGCTTTACCTAATAAAATACAAAACTAAATACCGAAAAAAGATTGAAAAAATAAAAAACATGGAGACAAGTTGCTGAGTGATCACAGAAGCATAACGTGTGCAGAAAAGGCAAAAGATCATTATAAAGAAAAAGAAAGCGGAATTAAAGAAAAAGAAAAAAAAGCAACCATTGTAGAACAGGTTCTTACAATGAAGCTGGAATGTTCTTGAAATAGAAGCTCCCATGTAAAAGGGAAGTTTGTGGTGTGGCACACCAGCCAGCTACCTAGATACTGGACATTTGAGCATTTACATTTGAATTGTTATGATTTGCATGATCGTACAAACATAATATCTTGATTTTTGGTTCTGTTTAATCTGATAATGGATCAATGTGCCGTTCTCCATTGTTAGAATCCTTGATACATTTGGTGAATTGATTCCAATAGTCTCGTTACTCTTGAACAATCATTGATCATTGAATATTCCAAGAATATTGTTCTTGAATCTGAATATTTTAGATCCTCATTCTTCAATGAAGATGGTGTTCTCTGCTCATGGTAGATGAACATGAAATATTTTACAGATTGTTTTGGTTCTTTAATTGTATCTTCTCATTGAATACGCTTTAGTGGTTTCTGTATTTTCTTGGAATTTGCCAATGACCAAAATCTTTCGTGTGTTGCAGAGGCTCATTAAGCAGCACAACCTCGTTGTGCTCTCTGCCTTGGGTATGGGTATGTGTTCTTGAATCTTCCATCTTCCATATTGTAAAATACTAGGTTTCTTAGATTGTGTATGATTGTATCCTCTAATTCTAAGGCAAATGAGGAACATGGAGCTTGCCTCTTTATGCAAAAAATCCCATAGGAGAGGTTGCTTTTTTTCAGTACAACCATGAGACATAATTGAACTGTCTTCTTATTTTTGCATGCATGTACTATATAGGTCCCTCAATCCAAGAAGTTATCTGGTTTTCCCAGAAAATCATGTGGTTACATGTTCACTAAATAATAAGAGGACATGCTACTATTTTTCAATAGAAGTAGCAACAAATTGAACACTTGAATGCTTGTAATTGGGCTGACACACAACCATGCAAGTGTTCCCAACCCAGCCCATAATTTCTGGGTCGCTATATCCATGTTTGGTACAAGCTTTTTTGAATTGAGAATGATACCAATATTAGGCACTTCTGAAGGCAATTTATACACAGCATCACACTTCCTAATAATACATGTTAACATATTAACACATAATTATATTGTCATTAATTATTTTTATTTTATTTTTCAGATATTTCCGAAGTAGGAGTTTGCTTATTATGGCTTTCATGCCTGTGAAGAATGTCACTAATTTTTGTTTTTGTACCACGGAGAATGCTAAGGAAAACTTTTAATTTTGATTTATGTTATTTTGAATTATGAATAACATTATGTATTTAAACATTATATATGTATTATGGAACATTATCTACTGGGTTAATTTTGTTAATGTATCGTTATGAATGTAAGAATATGTTTATTATCGAGAAATTATCATTTTTATACAGGAATTTTTATATTATTATGCAATTATTGGCTTTTTTTTTTAAATTGTTTTTCATTGAATACAGGTAATTTTAATATTTTTTAATTAATTTACAGCAGGGTTTTTTTTTCTTTTTTTTCTTTTTTTGCGACGACACCAAACCGTCGCAAAAAACAGATATTTTATAATTTTTAATAATTTTTAATAAAAGCCTTTTACGACAGTACTATTTACCGTCGCAAATAATCTTTTAGCGACGGCGCATTGTGCTGTCTCAAATATTTTTTAGCGACGACAGGTATCCCCGCCGCAATAAAAATTCTTTACCGATGGCATTTTTGCTGTCTCAAATAACACCTTTAGCGACGGCAACGTAGTTTCGTCTCAAAAAATCTCAAATTTTTTCATATTAATGGTGACGAAAAAATTCCGTCGCAAAAAAGGCCACTTTGCCATCGCAAAAAAAAGGCGACGGCAACGTGCCGTCGCTAAAACCTTTTTGTGACTCCCTTTGTTGCGACCCCCTACTTGTCGTCGCTAAAAGTCATTTGTCGTCGCAAAAAACCTTTTGAGACGGCATTTTGAGTTTTTGCGACGGCATTTTGTCGTCGCAAAAAGTCAAATTTTTTGTAGTGGGTGTTACTATAACTATAACGATACTAGTTTAGACCTGACCTATTTGATATTCTGGATTTGGATTTCATTGTTTTGTATTGTTGTTCATGTCTTATTCCTCTTTTCCCTCCTTGAGTTTGGCTATTGGGATGTGTTGGTTGCATTTGGAACGGGTTGATAGCTTGTTTTTCAAAACTTTGGTTGCCTAGATTTTGGCCTCCATATTCGAGCGGTCTTTGTCGACTCCCAGCATTTTGGCAGGTCTGCAAAACCACTGAGAGAGTGTATTCTACGCTCAAGCGGTTCTTCTTGTGCTCGAGCGGTCATGCGCTTGAACGACACTTCTTGAGCTCGAGCGGTAGGCATCTGACTGTAAAATTTCTAAGAATGTATATTCTCCACTCGAGCGTCACTTCTTGCGCTCAAGGGATGTTGCCTTTTTCTATGTGTCTTGACGCTCGAGCGTCACTTCCTGTGCTCGAGTGGTAATCACTTTTGTGTCTGGACGCTCGTGCGTCACTTCTTGTGCTCAAGTGGTCTTTACGTATATCAGTTCGTAAAAGTCACTTTTTACATCACTTTTTCGTCTCTCTCTCTCTCTCTAAACATTCCAAAAACCTTAGTTCTAGACTCTGTCTCTCTCTAAAACCTACATTCTTTCTACAAAAACAGCAAGATGTAGTGATTTCTTCACCCTACTCCCTTTGTTAAATAGGTAGAGCGCACCTAGAGCTTCATTTTCATCCGAATAGAGTTGGCTTTCGGTTTCATCCAAGTTTTATCTGTGTTTATCTCATCTTTTAGCTTTGAGGTAGGGATCCTCTACACTTTTTTATAAGTTTTAACTTGTCTATTTGTTTGTATAAAACAATCTTGTGGTTTTGGAAGATTTTGAACAAACTTACGATTTTGGTTTACAATCAAAATAGGGGTTTTCAAATGGATGTATGTAAAATGGTTGTGGAAGTGGAAATGAGGTTGAGTTGTGATAAAATTATTGATTTTGATACTTGGAATGGATTTCGGAAGAAAATGGGTTTTGCCCTAAATGTCTCAAATATTTATTTTGTATAAATAAATTAAATTGATGTTGGAAATGTGAAATTGGATGGATATTGGTATGGATGGTGGAGCTGAATATGTATTATCACTTACATCTTGAAATTTGTAAAGTTTATCTGTATTTGGAGATTTTATACCTGTTTAGAAATATTTGTTTTAGGCTATCGGTGGAAGATAACTATGATTGTTGTAGAAATTGCATGAGGATTAGGTGAATTGAAACTGATTTCTCATCCATTTGCATTGAGCATTGTCACATCTTGATACATTGTACATGTATAGCATTTTTGACAAAATTAGGTGAATTTGAGAAGGGGATGTATTCCATTGAATTAAGTTGTCATGTGTGTCCAATGTGAAAATCTCGAAAATTGCACGTATACATAGGTTCCGATTCCGGCGGACAAAATATCCATAAAATGGAGGAAGTAGTGCTTGTATAGCCTACGTTACATGGGTGCCAGTTCTGGTTTCCGGAGGACAAAATATTCGTGAAATGTTGTACTTTGAGATTCCCAGAGTTATGATTCATGGCCCTATTTTCTAATGTAAGGAAATGAATGATGGATTGTGATATAAACCGGACTTTGCATGGTTTTGGAAAGAGTAATGAGACGTTTTGATCATGAGCATTGCATATGCATTTCACCCTTATATCTTTGTTAAGATTTATATATTGTTTTGGATTATTTCAACTGGGTTTTGGCTCACCCTATATAGGAAGATCATTTTCAGATGTTGGTGAAATGCCTCCGCCAAGGCACTAACTTGGGAGGATTGGAGCAAGAGTTTTGAAAAATCTAGAAATCCCCTAGATGTTGATTTGTGATTATGTATCAATTTTAAGCAGTATATAACAATCTCAATCAAACAATCAAGACAAATCGACACAACGATTTTATGTGAAAAAACCACAATTGGACACCTCCAATTGTGATAAAAAAATCACGGGCAACAGCCACAAAACAATCCACTAAGAAGATATAAAGGAATTACACAGGTATACTCTCAATTACCTAGAAAATCCACGCCCGAATTGAACCAACCTCTATGTGCCTCTTCCAACCCCGTCTTCACCTCGGAATTGTTTTGACGATGAGCCACTTCGAAATCCACCAAAGCTTCAGGCACGAATTCTTCAGAATCCACCGAAGAACAACTCTTTCTTTTGTGTAGAACAAACAAATAATCCTTTGATGTATACTCTTTAAACCATGAGTTGAATACTCAATCAAAACATCAAAGAAAACTAGTAAAATATCTCCAGATATAAACCCTAGACCCCGAGAAGAAGATCTGGAGAAGTAATCCTAGATTTGGACTGAAACATGTATTCATAGAAAACTGTCCCGCGATCTCCGCTTGAGCGTCAGATTGGCCGCTCGAGCGGGAAAAAACATATCGCAGTATTTTTGCAGGCGATCAAACTTCTGGAACCAAGGATTCTCCGCTCGAGCGGGGGAATGGACACTCGAGCGGGAGACAATTTGGAATGCATTTTTGCATTTTGCCTCTGGGGCGCTGCCCCTCGATCCCGCCGTGGCGCTACCCTAGACCCGTCAAGGGGCGCTGCCCCCCGGGACCCCCACAAGCTGACCGGGCAGCTCGATCCCCGTCATAATCAGCGAAGTAGCAATCTTGAAAGCATTAACATGACAAACTTCTCTACAAGGCACAAGTCGGGTTGGATTCGCATCTAAACACTCATAGCCTCACTGAAATAAAAAGTGCGAAAACAAATACAACTTAAAGGAGTTTTGTCAAACGGGGTTGCCAAGAATAAAAACCTAACAAGTTTTATTTTGTTTACATGTTGTAATTATTTTGTACAAGCCTAGGGTTTTATCTATATGAGATTTAAATCCATTTTGATGTAACTAAGTACAGTCTTGAAAAGTTGTAGCCTTTAGGGTATTTCAATTATCTGTTTAACTTCTATTTCATATCTTTGCTGAATGTATATTTGCATGTGTCACCCTTTTTACAACCGCATCTTATGTAATAGAGGGATATTATACTAACTTATATTGTTATTTATTTATCGTCGTAGATGGTTTATTGAATTTGTTTCGGGGCGTTACAATAACTATTATTGAAAAATGGATTGTTTATAAGGAATTTGGTAGGGTAAGCGAGTAATAAAATCTGGAGCGTGACAATTTTGTCACTATTATCAATAGAGTTAATTTTGTATTTTAGTTCACAATCATAAAAAGTTTCTTTATCTATTTGAACTATAAAAAATAAAGTGTTCTAAGACAAAACTATAAAAGACTTTATACATTATTTATTACATTCACTATCGTTCAGAATATATGATACTTTCGACCTTTTTAACATTTTCTATAACAACACAACACACTAACAAAACCTTAATTTAATTAATTGTAAAATCTTGTTCAAATTTGTTAATGGTTTTGACCAATGTGAAAGCAAAGATGGAAGTTTCTTCAATGACGCGTTCGCTTTTGCTTCTGATGCTTTTAAACTTTTTAACATTTTCTATAACAACACAACACACTAACAAAACCTTAATTTAATTAATTGTAGAGTCTTGTTCAGATTTGTTAATGGTTTTAACCAATGTGAAAGGAAAGATGGAAGTTTCTTCAATGACACGTTCGTTTTTGCCTTTTTCACTAATTGATTAGTCATTTCAGCTGACCAAAATGCAATGTTGTTATGATTTGAGTTTCAAAAGAAATAATTATTTATTTATTTAATACTTTGTGATTTGATGTGTACAATATACGTCTTATAATTAAAGAGAAAATAGTATAATTATATATTTTCTAAGTCATAATTAAAAAATATATATATGATCAAACACAATATGTGGTATAATCAAATATATCAAAATAATATCATAATTAAAGAAAAAATTAATTATAATTAAAAAAAATGATATAATTAAAGATGTATATGGTAAGAGTTGTGTGTTGTAAAATTTTTCATTTGATTTATTGAATATTTAATAGTTGTTGAGTGATTTACTCAACAAAGACTTAAACACGGCATATTAATAAGACAAACATTAGTTACGGAAAGTACATGCATCTTGTGACATCTTTGGGTTGAAATTTGCTTACTCATATTTGATATATATATATATTTTTTCAAAGGTTAGTGGTGATTCATGCAATTGAAGGCTAATTTGGTAAATGGAAATTTTCTCAGTGATCGCTCAAAGAAATGGTGGCTCTAAATGTTCCTAAAAAAATTATTATACACAAAAAAAAAATTATAAAAATTAAGTACATTTTTATATTTTATTATATTCAATGAAT